GGGAGAGGCAATGGCACTTTAATGGGGACCCTGTCCCGCAAAGTCTGTTTTCTGCTCTGCTGGATGAAAATTAATTTGTACCAGCACAGCCAGAGCCAACTGTCACGCAGGACTGAGGCATGGTGATAGAATTCCCAGTAATATCCACCTCAGAGACAGTGATGGAGGTACCACCCATGCCTGGCGGACACTGAGGCACATCTGCCCAGGCCATTGGTGAGACCTGGTGCGCTGTCAAAGGACAGGCACACTCCAGGGGGGCCTCGTCTCTACCAGAGCGCATGTCTGTCTCTGAACCCAGTTCTTAGCCCTTGGGGACTCCTTGCGGACTTGGTCTTTCTTCATGCAAAGGTCTGCCCATTTCATGCAGCTCTGGTTTTTCGGTTGCAGTCACAGCCTGGTTCCCTGATGGGACTTGGGTTCACATCCCAAGCCAATATCTACAGACATGGTCTCTGAAGTATTTGCTCTCAGCAGATGGCTCCCCCTTTCACACTTTCTTCTTGTTGTTGTTCCCAGACAGTTAACCTCTTTCCTGATTTGGTCCCCTTTGCCCTTCTGTAATACTAACTATGAATTTTGAGCTTGTGGGAAGCCCTGACATTGGGGCTGAGAGGCAGCCTACAGGGCGGTACTGGTTGGTCACTACCAGTCTCTGTTCCAATTGGTCAGTGCCCTTGATTTCTGTTGTCAGGTATTTTTAGTTACCAGGCTTTGCACAGATTATTTCATTAAATCCTTGCAAGCTGATGGGTAGTAACTATTTTTATTCACATTTTACAGATGAGGAAACACCAAAGGCCAAGAAACTCTTATGAATGGGAGAGCAGGGCCTTGAACCTGGGCCTGGCTGACCATGAGCCCATTCTCTCAGCTGCCACCCTGTCCCCAGGAGCATCCTGACCTGCTGCAGCCCTGCTTACTGAGCAGTTATGATCTAAAGTGCAGGCCTTAGTAAAGGCCAGGAGTGGCACCTGCTCTCTCAGCCCCCTGGAGCCCCAGTTCCTATGTGGACCACTCCCATTTTTGGAAGTGAGGCCATAACTGAAGCTCTTGGGAACTGGACTGATTCTTGGGAACCCCCTTCCTGTCCCCCACCCGTGTGTCAGGAGCAGGTCCAGCCACCTGTGCTGAGGGGCTGCCAGGCCATTTGGTTTTGTCAGCATGTCTGGAGCCTCTGCTGTGTGCCAGGCACAACTACGAGGCAGGCAAGACCTAGGCCCCACCATCAGAGCACCAGGAGCTTCTTGCCCCTCCCTGGCCTCAGATGCCCCTACTAAGAGGGACCAGCTTCAGGCCTTCTCTTTATTGGTGCCCCCACCATGACCCTAACGTTCCTGCCGCCTAGGCTGCCCACCACCGAGTTGATGGCCAGGGAGCGAATCCAGAACTGTAAGACGCAGCTGACAGCTCAAGGCTACGGCCCCCTCTTCCTGTGCCTCCCATCAGGCACTGAAACTGACCTAGGCCTCCAGGCCCCCAGGGGTGGGCAGGAGGATTGAGATCCCCGAAGGCAGGGTGCTGGGGAGGGAGAGGCCTTCGGGGCATCAGGCCGTGATGCCTGGGCCTTCAATCCCATGCCTGTCCCTTCTGCTGATGCTCTTGGCTCAGTGCTAGGCAGTGAGGAGCTTATGGAGAAGGTCCTGAGGCCCAGAATGTCCAGCAGAGGGGGTAGGAAGGGAGGAGGGCTTAATGGACCCCACCTCCATGGGGTCATGTGCTGACCCTCACACACCCCTCAGCAAAAGGTTGCCTAAGGCCCCCTAAGCCTGCAGCCCAGCAGCCGCACCTTCCCTGAACCCTTTTTTGTCACTGGTCCTGGTGGTGTTTTACACTTCTCCCTTCCTGCCCCTCCTTGATTCCAGTGTGTATGTATATTCCCAGAATGGCAGCTTCCTGAGTGAGGATGCCTGGCAGCCTCCAGAGAGAAAACCCCAGACCCTGGCTTCCTGGCCATGTCCCTCTGTACCCACCCCCCTTCCAAGTCCCATGTGGCCTTTCAGCCCCTCCAGGAGCCACAGCCTCGCTGAAGCCCCCACCCCTTGCTTCCCTGGTGACTGCAGAGCCTCTTAGCTTCCTCCCTGGGAAATGGCAATGGAGGCAGAGTGTCCTCTGCTCAGGGCAGAGGTGTGATGCTCCCGACTGTGCCTTAGTGATAATTCTGGCCCCCGCTGGACACGGACACTGGGCGTGGGGCTCAGGTGAGGACGCATCACCCGTGAGAAGTCCCATGACTCTGCTTGGCACAATGATGGTGTCTGGGTGGGATCCCTTACTGCCAGGGGCTGCTGGGTAAGGACTGATTCTTGGGAACCCCCTTCCTGTCCCCCACCCGTGTGTCAGGAGCAGGTCCAGCCACCTGTGCTGAGGGGCTGCCAGGCCATTTGGTTTTGTCAGCATGTCTGGAGCCTCTGCTGTGTGCCAGGCACAACTACGAGGCAGGCAAGACCTAGGCCCCACCATCAGAGCACCAGGAGCTTCTTGCCCCTCCCTGGCCTCAGATGCCCCTACTAAGAGGGACCAGCTTCAGGCCTTCTCTTTATTGGTGCCCCCACCATGACCCTAACGTTCCTGCCGCCTAGGCTGCCCACCACCGAGTTGATGGCCAGGGAGCGAATCCAGAACTGTAAGACGCAGCTGACAGCTCAAGGCTACGGCCCCCTCTTCCTGTGCCTCCCATCAGGCACTGAAACTGACCTAGGCCTCCAGGCCCCCAGGGGTGGGCAGGAGGATTGAGATCCCCGAAGGCAGGGTGCTGGGGAGGGAGAGGCCTTCGGGGCATCAGGCCGTGATGCCTGGGCCTTCAATCCCATGCCTGTCCCTTCTGCTGATGCTCTTGGCTCAGTGCTAGGCAGTGAGGAGCTTATGGAGAAGGTCCTGAGGCCCAGAATGTCCAGCAGAGGGGGTAGGAAGGGAGGAGGGCTTAATGGACCCCACCTCCATGGGGTCATGTGCTGACCCTCACACACCCCTCAGCAAAAGGTTGCCTAAGGCCCCCTAAGCCTGCAGCCCAGCAGCCGCACCTTCCCAGAACCGTTTTTTGTCACTGGTCCTGGTGGTGTCTTACACTTCTCCCTTCCTGCCCCTCCTTGATTCCAGTGTGTATGTATATTCCCAGAATGGCAGCTTCCTGAGTGAGGATGCCTGGCAGCCTCCAGAGAGAAAACCCCAGACCCTGGCTTCCTGGCCATGTCCCTCTGTACCCACCCCCCTTCCAAGTCCCATGTGGCCTTTCAGCCCCTCCAGGAGCCACAGCCTCGCTGAAGCCCCCACCCCTTGCTTCCCTGGTGACTGCAGAGCCTCTTAGCTTCCTCCCTGGGAAATGGCAATGGAGGCAGAGTGTCCTCTGCTCAGGGCAGAGGTGTGATGCTCCCGAATGTGCCTTAGTGATAATTCTGGCCCCCGCTGGACACGGACACTGGGCGTGGGGCTCAGGTGAGGACGCATCACCCGTGAGAAGTCCCATGACTCTGCTTGGCACAATGATGGTGTCTGGGTGGGATCCCTTACTGCCAGGGGCTGCTGGGTACTCAGCAGGACCACAGTAAGCAGGCACCCCCAGGAGGGAGGACGTCAGCCTCTGGCCCTGCCTCACAGCGTAGCCCTTCTGTGTGGCATCCATCTTCGCCTACAGCCCTTGCTTGTTTCCCAGACCTGCTGGCAAAGGTATCAGGGAGCCAAAGGGCAGTCACCTGGCCCAAGAGGGAACGTAAGCCTTCTCCCTGAGGGTGCCTATGGGACTTGGGTTAGCAACCTGGGCAGGGGCCTGGCCTTTCCTTCCTCTAGCCTTGCCCTCAGAAGTTAGCCAGAAGCCAAGCCCAGCTGGATGGACATCCCTGAGGAATGCCCAGAGTGGAGGACCACCGCTGGGGTGAAGAAAGAAAAGGCTGGGGGGACCAGGAAAGAGGCAGCCAGCTCAGCTGTTTTGTGTCAGTGTCTGAGGTGGGGCCAAGGAAAGCAGGCTGTGATTGCCTTGTTGAGGTGACTGTGAAGTGCTCCCAGCCCAAGGGATGGGGAGGTAGGGGTGTCGACTGGAGGGGGCTCAAGGCTCATCCCCAGTGGACCACAGCACCCCTAGGTGCAGTGAGACACTGCACACCTCCCCCTTCTGGAGCAGGCTAGCTTAGCCATAGGTCTGAGGCTCTGGTCCCTCGCCCTCAGCTGCTCTCGAGCACAGGCTGAGCCCATCCTGCAGAAACTGAAGGGCAAGCCCGTGAGTTTCCTGCTGACCCCATGGGGTGGCTGACCAGACTGATCCTGAAGATCAGAAAAGGACTTCGTCTGCTGCACAGACCCCAGCCCCAGTGCCCCACACAAGCAACAGGTAGTGCTTGCCAGGAGCCAAGCAGGGGGAGCCCCAGGTGACTCCTCTTGGGGAAAGCTGAGGAACGACTGAGGAAATGAATGCAAGTAAATTTCCAGTACAGACAGTCGGCTCAGAGCCTGTTTCCCAATGCTCCGAGATATCGGTCAAGCATCAGCAACGGTCCCTGGCTATGGGCAAAGCAGCAGGATGCGGACGTCTGGCAAGGGGTATGGCGAGGACCTTGCCCAAAAGACTGATGGGCACCCAATCTTCTGTGTAAGGACAGACATCAGTAAACAAGCTGGGTTTCAAGTGCCTGCCTCCCTGGTTTTCTTCTTTATACCGTTTTAAACACTCTCTCCCAAGTGGGCCTGGCTTCTGGCCAGCAGCTTCACCAACACATAATGGCCCTCCTACTGCTTTTCTAAAGGCATATGCTCGGGTATCCAGGACAAGGGCAGTTTGGTTTTGAACACTCAACTTACATGCCCTAATTGGGAGTTGAGTTAAAAGCAGAACAGGTATGAAATGGCACTAACTTGAGCAAATTGTGAGTTCAGAATACGGGTCTGCCCACTCTTCACTGAATACACTCCCCCAAATTCAGCTGAGTCGGGCCAGGCTGTTATTTCCCAACAGGTTATTTTGTGAAAACATGTTATCATTCAAATGAAAACCATTAACAAGATGATAATTCTCTTTATGAAAACTTTTATTTTTGTCTCATCCATCAAGGGCACAGGATACCTCCATCAGCTCCAACTTTTGCTTTTCTCCTTACAAACTGTTGTCACCTTAACTAGGGTGTGGGAAGCTTCCTAGAACCAGAAAATATTGCCTTCTGGATTACATGTGCACAAGCCAAGTGTGGAAACACAAGTGGCACTATTTAAGCAGCAGACTCCAAGCTGCCCAATAAAATCCAAGCACCTTCTGCATCAGAATGCAGACATTGGACTACACCTTTGACACATTAAAGCCCAATTAAATTACCTGAAGTCTATTCTAGCTTGCTTCTCACAAGCTCTCAATCTGAAACTACTGCAAAATTTAAAAAATTTTATCAGAACCTAAGTGTTTTCCTACAGCTACTAGCTTCAAATATATAGAATGCTTTTGTCAATTAACTGGTGGTTTTTCTGTCCCTGTCTTACTGACATAACTATGCTTTACTGCTGGCCATTACTGGTCAAACCTAGTTTCATTCATACTGAAAGGGCAGCTTAGGCCAAAGTGAGTTCTGTACCTGTGTAGGCTTGTTAAAGTAACTGTCTATATGATACATATCTGTAAATATGTTTCATGAACAGATCCCCAATCTGAGCTCTAGAATTTTAAAGAAATTTATTTTCCCTGGTCTATGTTGCACCTTGAATGAAAGTATTTCCTAACATTAGGGGGGGAGGAGCATATTACCAGTCTTAGGCCCACACTGTGAATATGGCAATCATAACATTTTTAGAGGACTGCTTAAGTGCTTTCTATAAACAATCCCTTTGTCTAATAAGCAAAACCTGAACTTTGTATCTGATACAAACAACCTAGATATAATAGGCATATTCAAGCTTTGCACAATTTAGGTTTTTGACACTTAGTTGGATAAACAAGTTTATTTGTTAAATTTAGTCAACATACATAATTGACCTAAAAACTTCAATAGTGGAGGATCAATTTTAAAACAACTTGGAAGGCCATCTGTTTAAGTGATTTTCCCAGGATAGTATACCAGGTGTAACCTAACCAAACACCATCAAACTGGCAGAAGTTCAATAGGCTGGAGCTGTATGCCCCTCCCCCCACAGCAAATTTACTCAAAGGGTTATAATACAAACTCCACAAGGAAAAGAACCTCAGTATTGTTTCCTCTTAGTAGAGAAAACTCAACCTAGTTATGAGATCAACCACAACACAAAGAAAAGCTGCACTAACTAGTTAAGATTAGTAACAGATGATGCTGGTGTGAATAACTTGTATTATAATCTAGAGCCCTTATAAATAAAATCCCCCGTTAGTGTTTGCATTAGCTAGAGGGTTAGTTAACATGTGGTAGAATGAGGACTTATGCAAGGTGTAATTCGCAAAGCATTTTACTATTATGGAAACAAGTGCAGTCTAGTTAGGAGAAAACCAACTGGACTAAATTACACACGCCTTAATGACAAGACTCCCCACCATATGTGAATGTAAAACATTTAATTTAAAAATGTTGACACTACAATATATAAAATAGCTATTATAAATGCACATAGTGTATTCTATAGCTGCCAGGTTTACTTTTTTTTTTACTTTTTTTTTTTTAGGAAACTGTAAGTTACACTGTGGTTAAGACTTGTATTTTCACCCTTGAAAAAGCCCACATTCTATCACAGTGATGTATGGTCAGACTTAACAGCCCCAATTGTTAAACACTTGGATCAAGTCATAACCAGTTTTATTGCAAAAGGACCCTGTACACATTTATCAATTCTAGTACCTTAATAGCTACCCAACAAGTCATTAACATACAGAAACATGCATCATGAGAAGCAAGAAATATCACCCATCCCTTCTGCATATTAGCAACTTGTCACTCCTGAGCAACAGTGCTCACATCACTGAGGTCTGTGAACAGTCACTTTTCGCATTCATCCTGAGTGAAAGATGGAATGACTTAAGTACAAATGCAACATATTATAAACAATTTCTTACAAAAAAAAGTCACAAATTAAACCAAAGTATTTTACAGAATTTACTACAAAACACCATAAAAATTGCCTTCACTTAAGCTCTCTCCCCCCGTATCCGGCGAGCCAACTGGATGTCTTTGGGCATGATGGTGACTCTCTTAGCGTGGATGGCACACAGATTAGTATCTTCAAATAAACCCACCAGGTACGCTTCACTAGCCTCCTGTTGAGGACAAGAGCCACACTATTAAACTCTGCGAGGAGAGAAACCGCTCACAAGCCCGCCTCCCGTGACAGCCTCTGTCTCTGTCGTCTTACCTGAAGCGCACCAATGGCGGCACTTTGGAACCTCAAGTCAGTTTTGAAATCCTGGGCGATCTCCCTCACCAACCTCTGGAAAGGCAGCTTCCGGATCAGAAGCTCGGTTGATTTCTGGTAACGACGGATCTCTCTAAGTGCAACGGTCCCGGGCCTAAAGCAAGCAGGGGAGTGTAAACCGACACCAGTTAGCTGACAGCACCGCCAGGCCGCGCGCCGCCAAGTCATTGTCCTTCTGCCCGGCCTACCTGTAGCGATGAGGCTTCTTCACCCCGCCGGTAGAGGGGGCGCTTTTCCTGGCAGCTTTAGTGGCCAGCTGTTTACGGGGTGCTTTCCCACCCGTGGATTTACGAGCAGTCTGCTTGGTTCGAGCCATTTTCTTTCACCTAAAGTAAACACCCGTGACTCCGGGGCCGCGGCGCTCGCCCCCCGGAGGCAGGACAGCCTGACGCCCCTAACCCCCGCCTCCTCTCGACGGCAGATGGCCCAGGGCCGCTGCCTCCTCCCCCTCCCCTAATGACTCAGGCTACGAATAGTAGCAGCAGCCTCCCCCGGAGGGGGTGGCTCAGGGAGGAGTCACTTCCCCTCTTCGTCGGGCGGAGGCCGTTGACCGGAACCCAAGCATCGGGACTTCTGAATCACCACCGAAAAGAGGTGGAAACCCGGCTCCGGAAGGAAGCCCTAGAGGTAAAATCTCCCGACTTCTCGCCCAACGCCAGCGGCCCCAGCAGCCCACACCAGCAGGCACTCGGCTTCCAACGACCCCGACCAGCAGCATCAACGGCTGCCAGGGCTTCAAGTTACGGGTAAACCCTAGAACGCTTACCCAATGCTGAAGTCGAAGACCACTTCTTTGACCGCCGCGCCGCTTCTGCTGCCCACTGAAGAGCCGCAGTGGCCGAGCAGAAAACACAAGACCCCACAACTAAGGACCAAACTGCTCTGTGCTCCGAACCCCCCCGATACCTCCGTTTTTATACCGACGCTTCACGCTGCGTCTATGCGTCATAGGGCCCTAATTTGCATACACCAACGACTTTTCCTATTGGCGGGCACTTTAGCCGACGCTCTGACATCCCCCGACACAAAGGCTGTGCTTTGGCCCCGCTCCCTGATTGGTGAATACATAGGCTGCTGATTGGCTGTTAAAGTGGCCTAATGATTGGATGAATGCAAAGAGGAATGGACGAATCAGAGTTTAGCACTAAGCGGATATTCTGATTGGATAAAATGGAGCTATGTTTGGATCCTTCCTTTGGTTCCAAAGCTCTACAATAGAAAGTCAATGCAAATGAACTGAATTGGTCTCTATCAGGACTTATTTACATCAAGCTTATACAATGCAGTAGAGGTTACTTTAACGAAATTTTTGTAAATATTTCCCAATGTAAAAGGAAATGTGTTCTTTGTGGTTATTCTCATTAATATTTTGATAAGTGACATAGGGCAAATGAGATTTCGAATTCAGTAAATTATGTTATATTACCCAGTATTTCAAATATCACACATACACGTTGTAACCAGACAGTAATGTTTTCATTTGGTGGGGTGGGGTAAATAAGAGATTCAAATAAAAAAATGTAATAAATGATTTTATAAGTACAGTTTTGTATGCTCTTAGGCCTTTACAAAACACTTGTGATTTCAATATGCTTAAACAAGAAGTAACTCACTACACAACATATTTTTGAATTACATATTTCAACTGAGCGAAATAACTACAGCCAAAATGGGAATACTCCTAAGACAGTACCTGCATGTCCATAAAGGTTAAAGGAAAGACATGTGTGTCCTTTGGTTTAATGGTATGTCCTGGTAGGTATTCTAAGAAACATGAAAAATGTATACAAATGGCAATCCTCACCTTTGCCTAAGTAAATGTCTTGGATGGATTGTAATATTCAGTTCTCCGGATGAGTGAGGTGTATAAACTACCAAAGCATGCTTAAGGTTAAGACCAGTCAAACAAAGCTCAGAAAATTGAAATAGAGCAGTGGGCATTCTACTCCAAAGCTCTTATTCTCAGTTCACTTAAAATCTTAAATTATCAAAATAAAATGTAGCGAAGTCAAGTAAGCATAAATTTCAATTCAGAATTTAAAAATTTACTTGTGACACCAAAGGTACCTTTGGTCAATAGCATTAGTAAGGAAAAAAATGTACAACTTGAAAAGTATCTTTGGCTCAATATCTGGTACCAAATTCCCCTCATTATTTTAGTCCTCACAATCTTAATATGCTCAATGATGTATTTAATTATCATAGCTCTAAACTTTTGTGATAATTTAGTTAGCCTTACTTTCCCCCTTCTCGAAGTTTAGGGTAGGGGAGAAATTAAGCTTTCTATTTTATTCATACCATGCTGAAAAATCAATATACAGGGTCTTGCCCTGTTCTCAGAACCTGTGTAAAGCTAAGGAACAGGGCACTGGTTAGATCCCTCATAAGAAGCTGTCAAATGTTCTGGGGTGTAATCAGAAAAATACTGTCATTTTTTGTTTTGTTTTGTTCAAATGGACTGAAGAAGCGGACTTCTAAGTAAACATCCCCTTTGTGCTCCAAAATTTTTCTGAGTTCCAGAACCTTGTCTGTCCCGTATCTCCAAGAGGAGAGACAAGTACTTTTTTTAGCCAGTTTTTCTTATTGTTAGAGAGGAATTAAAACTGCTCCAAGATAAACTGGGTATGGATTCACAGTCATCCATTTAAAGGACGATTAGTGGAAATAAGTCTGTCCCTCTTACTTGACAGTCGCACAGGTACGTTTTTCTTTTTAAGTTGGTATAGGGGAAGAAAGGCAACACAGGAAATAGGAAAGAACTGAAAATGTTTAGACAAAACAATGCAGAAGGTTATGCACTTAAGAGTACTGTCCTACTTCCTGTTCTGTCACTGACTTGCTGAGTAACTCTGTGCAAGTTACTTAACTTCTCTGAGTTTCAGTTTCCTCTTGTAAATTAAGTAGTTTGGATGATATCATCTCCCAATTCAACCAGTACACACTTATTCTCAAACTTATGGTATACCCTTATTTAAAATCTAGCGCTATGAATTAAATTTCCTCATTCAAATCACACTCGTGTATTTCGGGAAAAACATATAAACCAATTACTTGATTTAATAATAGATTTAAAGCAATACACTACAACTTTTATTTGTCCTTTTGGAATTTTTCATCTTCAAACGCCCCTAGTGGTTATACAACTGATTTGTACTGTTTAAAAAAATACCAGTTTCTCAACTTTGTAGGCTTAAGATTTGGCTTCTGATGTGAATTTATTCGGAACTAAAAAGTAAGTATGTGTCATTCTTAAATATTAACAATTTTCCATTCACCCCACCCTTCCTCATTCGTAAAATTATTCGAAATGTTTCTTTAATGAGGCAATCATTAACATAATCCTATCTAATAAAATATAAATCAGTCTTAAAAATGATTGAAATAAATTCAATATGGAAAACAAAGTTAAATAACAAGTATTAAGATATCTGTTTAGAACTATAAAGTTCACAGAATCAAATGCCTAGGTCTGAGGGAACTGGCTTATTTTTATAAAAGCCACATAGTTATGAAGCAAGAAGGGGAGAGAGAGATGCTTTCCCAGATAGAAAGGCTGTTCTAGACAAGGTAACTGCACCCCCTACTCAAACCCTGGCCCTTCCTCCAGACAATACGTGTTGCTTTGCAACATCCCTGCAACTAACTTGTCAGTGTACCTGAGACTATTCTAGACGGAGTTAAATTCGTCCTTGGCCTCTAATGTACTGGAAACAAGTTGGTCAAGCCGGGTGTCGAGTTGAGAAGGGAACGAAGTCGTGGAATTCCAAGTTTCAGGGTTGGTAAAGGTTCATGGCACCTCGGCAAAGACGTGGGTACAGAGTATCGTGTCGTGTAGCTTTACATTAGCAAGACTTTCTTAAGTTTCCAGCAGGCGGACTCTCCTTCATGCCTCTCAGGTTCGTATCGCTGTAGGAATGAGGATGTTGGCAGATTCCAGGTGCCTGCAGCACAAAGGCCTAGAGTTAAGAACGGATGGTACAGATTCATAAGCACTGCTCGGGGCTGGCATCAGAACCGAACCCAAGCTGTACTAAATCTGGAGGTGAGCTAATCATTATCCTGTTGGCAGTAAAATTACACTTGGAACTGATTCACAGAAGTCATCAGGGCCTCCCTAGCTCTGGGTCCCTTTTACTCCAGGGGCGCCAGTTCCAAGGAAAGGACCCCCTACTAATCTGGAAATGCAGTGGTAAAAAGGAGAAACGCCGCCGGACTGCATTTCCCAGCAGCCGTGGCAGGCCGGCAGCATCCGGGACACCGTCTGCAAGGATCCCTGGGTATTGTGGTCCATTCCTTTGGCAGCAACCCTCTACCAACGGTAAAATTCCAGCCGAATCGAGGACCACAACTCCCAGCAACCCTTGCTGCCGTGCGGGGGGTCTACACGTTCTCGTGGCGCGGCGCAGGCGCACTGGGTCCTCGGCGCGGACCGCGCAGACTGAATAATAAAAGGGGAGCGGCGAAGAGGCAGGAAGACAGGACCATGTCGAAGGGCCCCGGGCCCGGCGGCTCCGCAGCTTCCTCGGCGCCCCCGGCCGCTACAGCTCAGGTGCTGCAGGCACAGCCCGAGAAACCGCAGCACTACACGTACGTAGAGCACCCCCCCCGCCGCGCGCGCACGCCTGACGTCAGCGGCCAGCGTGAGTCACGCGCGCAGGGAGAGCGCGAGGCGGCCTCTCCCTCCCCCCTTCTTCCTCCGGCCCGGCCCAGACCGGTTCCAACCTGCTAGGGCTGGTCCCAACTGCCTCCAACTGCCACCAACCTCTGGTCGGGCCCGTGGGGCGGGAAACTTGGTCCCCGCCGCTGAGTGGGGAAGGCGGGAGTTTGGGGTGCGGAGTGCACACATCTTAGGCTAGGCCTTCGAGGCCTAACTGCTCCTCAGACCAGAAAACCACAGTGCCCGGCACTTGGCAGGGCGATGGAAAGTCCGAAACAGCCAGGATGAGTTCTTCGGGGTGCAGCTGTAGGGCCGCCAATGAATGACGGCCAGCGTGAATACGTGTCAGGCGTCTCCCGTGCTGTGCCCAGGAGGCCTTTTGTGTTCCTAAAGCCCGTATGTTGCCCATAGAGGCCATTACTTGCTTGAATACACTTAACAGTTGACCCATCTTGAGTCAGGGACCCGAGGGTGTGGGGACGGAGTACGTGCTCAGGCCCAACCGAAGCGTGGCATCAGAGGGAGGCCAAATTGCTGACACAAGAGCCCAGTAAGGTGGAAAACCCCTTCCTGGGAACCTGCTTGTATCTAAGTGTAGGTCCCTACCTTCTATTTCCTTTCAAGGCACGTTAAGCAACTACCTAGTGCTAAGTGCTTTGGGAGAAAGATGAAGAGAGGCAGGGCCTTACTGTTAAGCAAAATGTTGGTTTTCATTTTCCCTGATGCTTTCAGTGCTTCTCATCCCTTGGGCTCCCAAGTGATGTGCAGGCTTAGCAGGATCACTTGGAGCCTGGGGGTTGAAGAACCCTTAAGAGCCACACAGTGAAGCCACCTGGTGAACTAAGAGTGGAAAGCATCTGTTAGTGTAGAAAGAACTAAAAGTAGACAGGAGCTCGTTTGTCACAGAAGTAAGCCCCATTGGGAAATTGTTCTGGGATTGGGGAACGTCGGTTTTAGGAAGTGTATTGGTTTGCTTTTAAGATTCTCTGCTATTCATTGAAATCATTTGAAGCTTTTTCTTGACTACAGTCTGAGTCAGGTTAACTATAACTTTTCTAATGTGGCCATTGCTTTACCGGTCCTTTCCAACTGGAGTTTTTTTTGCAATCCTTCCACTGGTTTTGGTGAGATGGTCTGATCTCAGTTGAACTCTGTGGTCAAGCAACAGTCTTGTTTTGCAAATCTTCAGACTTCACAGTAATGGGAACTTCTCTATAATCCCTGGTTGCTCCAGTCACATTTTAGCAGCCTTTGGTTCTGTGTT